CCCAGGGTCTCCAGTCCAAGCAGCACCTCCAGCAGCTCCAGCAGCTCCAGCAGCTCCAGAAGCTCCAGCACCAGCAGCACCAGCACCAGCAGCACCTCCAGCAGCTCCTGTACCAGCAGCACCTCCAGTACCAGCAGCACCTCCAGAAGCACCAGCACCAGCAGCACCTCCAGAAGCTCCAGCAGCACCTCCAGCACCAGCAGCACCTCCAGCAGCACCAGCACCAGCAGCACCTCCAGAAGCTCCAGCAGTACCTCCAGCAGCACCAGCAGCACCAGCACCAGCAGCACCTCTAGAAGCTCCAGCAGCACCTCCAGCACCAGCAGCACCTCCAGAAGCCCCAGCAGGACCTCCAGTAGCTCCAGCAGCACCCCGACAGCGCCGAGAGTACCACTCACGAAGCTGCTGAGGAGAGAGAGGCTCCCGCCGCGGCGGGACACTGAGAGCACCACCAGACGCTGCACGTGTAGGCTCAGCACCTCCAGACACAGCACCCTCAGTCTCCACACGCCCAGGCTCAGTACCCCCAGGCTCAGCACGCCCACACTCAGCACCCCCAGACTCAGCAACCCCAGTCTCAGCACCCCCAGTCCCCGCACCCGCAGTCTCAGCACCCCTAGCAGCACCTGAGTCGACAGCTACCTCGACCGGCTCGGCATGGTCTACCTGGGACACACCTGAGGGGGCAGGACCCTGGGGGGGGGGGGGGGTCGACCTGGGGAGTACCTGGTGCGAGGAAGAGCGGCGAGGGGGGGGGGGGAGAGGTAGTGCGGTAGGGAAAAAAGACGGTAGTACGACACCGACTCGTCAAAAACGTGACGTCCTGAGAGGACAGAACACGACGCGAGGTGGGGTGGTAGAACTGCCACCCGGGTGCGTCAGGGAGGGAAGCCAAGGAAGACACAGGGAACGGCACGGGAGGACAGCTTGTCTGCTGTAGTATCGCGGACAAAAGCTCGAGATCCCCAGACACGGAACGCAGAGCGCATCGCCAACCTTCCCCGTCCACCGCAGAGTAGGTGTGGTCTTCGGCAAGGAGACACGAGGCTGAAGGTTGATCTGATGCGCAGCGTACTGAACCGCGAACGGCCACAGAAAATGGGGAGCAGCCGCAGGATCATGGACGTACGAGCGACGTCCATGACCATGCCAATGCGGCGCTCAGCAATCCCATTTTGCTGCGGGGAGGCCGGAAGCGTGAACGTCTGGCGGATGCCCTCAGAACGACAGAAGGCTCTCAGGAGGTCGGAGGAAAACTCCCCGCCTCTGTCTGAGTGCAGACGCAGAACAGGAAGGTCTGAGCCAAAAACTCTCACTAAGCTGGCGACGAGCACCGCGGATCCAGTCGATCAGCACCTCAGGGACCTCACCCTTGCTGCGCAAGGGGAAGACTGTGGTGTAACGCGAGTAGTCGTAAAACGACCAGCAGGAAGTAAACGCTCGTGACCCTGTCCCACGGACGCGGGCTGGGCCCCACACGTCGATGTGAAGAGTCTGCAGAGGGGCATCAGTCGGAGGAAACCGAGGAGGAGTGAGGGAGCGGCGGCTGCGCGCTGCCGGCCCTCGACACAAGGCACACAGGTGGGGGCAGGCCCCGGAGGAAGGGGAGGGAGGGACCTGGGGAGTCCCCGAGACAAGAGCACGGAGGCCATACCTCGAAGACGAGGCAGGGAGGGGTGACCAAGGCGGGTGGTGCCAAAGGAGAGTCTCGTGCGCCAGAGGACGACACGAGCAGGGGGGCAGACGCAGGACTAGACCTGGACGCGGCAGCAAACACCTGACTGGACACAGCTACCTGACCAGACGCAGGGACCGGAGGAGGCGCAGTAGTCAGTGTGTACAGACTCGACCCTGGCCGACGGGTGAACGTGGCCAGGTGGCGGCCCGTCCGAGAGCAAGTGCAGTGGGTCACACGCTGACCTCTAGGGGTGAACTGGTCAACCCACGCGTCCTGGGAGGTCAGCTCCACTCACCAAGTTCGTAGAGAATGAGGGGAGGTGGAGTCCCGACAGCAAGCCCGACGGGGGCCCGCAGGACACGGTAGAACCGTGGAGGAGTGTGCAAGGACTGGGCCCCCTGAGGGGTCAGCAAGGGAGACCGCAACAGGCCGACTGAGCGGCGTGAGCGTGGTGCTGTCTCTAAAGAAAGAGCGCGAAGCACCAGAGTCAAGTGTGAAAGTATGCAAGGACTCAGTAGGTGCAGTACCAGAGAGAGGGGACGCACCAGCACCTGGAGCAGCAGACGCACTAGCACCTAGAGCAGCAGCCGCACTAGCACCTAGAGCAGCAGCTGCAATGCCCGGGTCGGGCGGGACACGCAGGTAACAGTCACCCTCAGCACTATTAGCAATGGCATACATGGCAGCAAGGATAGCATCGAAATCAAGATCAAAGATAGGCACATTCTGCAGAAGCAGATCATGCCAGCGAGGGAGCTCAACGGCGTCAGGAAACTGGGGCACGCCAGGCGTCAGTCAGGCGACCGAAGCAGCGCTGCGTAGTGTGTGGGAGTCCACAAACCTCCCCACTACGAGTGCCGGAGCGAAGAACGTAAGCGCTAGGACCAGCACCCCCAGACCTCCCATGCCCAGCGTACCACTCACGAAGCTGCTGGACCGACGGAGGCTCACGGGAGCGCGGGTGCTGCTGGCGCTGGCTACCACCAAAGCCTCCACGCTGCGCGGCTCCACCTCGACCAGCACCACCACCGCCGCCACCTCCACCACCCGCTGCCGCTGCCTCCACCACCTCCTCCGCCGCCACTGAAGCCCCCACTCCCGGTACCACCCCCACCTCCCAGCGCCACCCCCTCCGCCTCCACCACCTCCTCCACCACTCCCCCTGCCGCCCCTCCACCACCCTTGCTCCCCTTGCCCCTGCTGTTGCGGCGTCTCCCACTAGGGGCAGACGCAGCTCCAACCTCCTCAGTGCCCACGAGGTCGACAGCAGCAGGAGAAGCAACAGAGGGGAGAAGGGGGGACAGGGGAGCACCCCTCAAAGAAAGGGGTGCGACGGTCGCCGCGAGAAGCACCTACAGCTAAGATACTCTTCTCAGCTGCAGTAAGGCGCTCCTCTAGCAGGTCGACAGTCAGCTCGGTGGGGCAAAGGGAGAGAATGTGGTCCCTGACTGAGGAAAGTGAGTCAGGGAGGCGGGTGACTAGGTAGTAAAGAGTGATGTACATGGGGGGGGGGGGTTCTTGGCACAGAACTCAGTGGGAAGGGCAGCGCGGTAGCGGGCGTCACTAGTGCGAAGGTGAGCAACTAGGTCAGCGATTGTGGCAAAGGCAGCAAGGTCAGGGAAAAGGTACGGCAGCATGAGGCGGCTGAGGGCATCAGTGGCAAGGGAGGAGTAGCGCGCAACTACAGCGTCGTACAAAGACTGAGCAGTCTGTCAAACTTATATTCTTTAGTCTGTTTAGGCTATAGTGTGGTAGTTCTTACAGGGTAAAACACTTCTAGGTTTCCTATATGTACCCACCTGCTTTCTAGTTCAGTCATTCATTCGTTCTCATTCTAACTTGGTATTCTGAGCAGGTTTCCCTAGTGGGAACGTCTTTCTTTGGGCCCACCACGAATTTTTCCTACCCGAAGCGCGCCTCGCGCCTGTTTCACCTGCGCCGTGTGTAGGAGCAGTAGAAACACCGGACGTGTGATCAAAAAAGGGACACCCCATCCCTAGAATCACACTGAAGAAAGAGCTGGAGGTCGTCAACCCACACGTCAAAGTCAACTGCACGTTCCTCAGCGTCAAAGGTAAGAACGGTAGGACTAGCCATAGCAGCAGTAGAAGCAGTAGCAAGAGTAGCAGCAGTAGCAGCAAAAGCAGCAGTAGGAGCAGAGACAGTAGGGCAGGGCAGTGCGGCTCGGTAGGGCAGGGCGACACGGTGGGGCGGCGAGGCTCGGCTGGGCGGCGCGGCTCGCCTGGGCGGCGCGGCTCGGCTGTGCGGCTCGGCTGGGTGGCGCGGCTCGGCTCTTGGCGGCGCGGGTGCTTACCAGGGGAGGGTGCAGACAGGCCCGCAACTTGGGCGGCAACGGGGGGCAGGGCCGCTACTTCTGGCAGTGCAGGCAGGGCCGCGACAGGCGATAACGGGCTGGCGACGGGCGGCAGCGGGCCAGCGACAGCCGGGGACGGGCGGCAGCGCGCCGGCGACGGGCCGGCGACGGGCAGCAGCGGGCCGGCGACAGGCGGCTGCGGGCCGGTGACGGGCGGCAGCGGGCCGGCGACGGGCGGCGACGGCCGGTGACGGGCGGCAGCGGGCCGGCGACGGGCGGCTGCGGGCCGGTGACGGGCGGGCAGAGGCGGGCCGGCAATGGGCGGCAGCGGTCCGGCGCCGGGCGGCAGCGGGCCGGCGACGGGCGGTAGTGGGCCGGCGACGACCGGCAGCGGGCCGGCGACAGGCGGCAGCGGGCCGGCTACGGGCGGCAGAGGGCCGGCGACGGGCGGCTACGGGCGGCAGCGGGCCTGCTACGGGGCGGCAGCGGGCCGGCTACAGGCTGCAGCGGGCCTCTAGGGCGGGGCCGTGACGGGCCTCTAGGAACGGGCCGCGACGGGCCTCTAGGAACAGGGCCGCGACGGGCCTCTAGGGCGGGGCCGGGGCGGGCCTCTAGGGAGGGGGCCCGGACGGGCCTCTAAGGCAGGGCCACGACGGGCCGCTAAGGCAGGGCCACTACGGGCGGCACAGGGGGCAGAGCGCGCGACGGCGCAGGTGAAACAGGCGCGAGGCGCGCTTCGGGTAGGAAAAATTCGTGGTGGGCCCAAAGAAAGACGTTCCCACTAGGGAACCTGCTCAGAATACCAAGTTAGAATGAGAACGAATGAATGACTGAACTAGAAAGCAGGTGGGTACATATAGGAAACCTAGAAGTATTTTACCCTGTAAGAACTACCACACTATAGCCTAAACAGACTAAAGAATATAAGTTTGACAGACTGCTCAGTCTTTGTACGACGCTGTAGTTGCACGCTACTCCTCCCCTGCCACTGCTGCCCTCAGCCGCCTCATGCTGCCGTACCTTTTCCCTGACCTTGCCGCCTTTGCCACAGTCGCTGACCTAGTTGCTCACCTTCGCACTAGTGACGCCCGCTACCGCGCTGCCCTTCCCACTAAGTTCTGTGCCAAGAACCCCCCCCCCATGTACATCACCCTTTACTACCTAGTCACCCGCCTCCCTGACTCCGTCTCTTCAAACAGGGACCACTTTCTCTCCTTTGCCCCAACCGAGCTGACTGTCGACCTGCTAGAGGAGCGCCTTACTGCAGCTGAGAAGAGTATCTTAGCTGTCGGTGCTTCTCGCGGCGACCGTCGCACCCCCTTCTTTGAGGGGTGTTCCCTGTCCCCCTTCTCCCCTCGTGTTGCTTCTGCTGCTGCTGTCGACCTCGTTGGCACTGAGGAGGTCGGAGCTGCGTCTGCCCCTAGTGGGGAGACGCCGCAACAGCAAGGACAAGGGGAGCAAGGGTGGTGGAGGGGGCGGCGGGGGAAGCAGTGGAGGAGGTGGAGGCGGCGGAGGAGGTGGCGGTGGAGGTGGGGGTGGTACCGGGAGTGGGGGCATCAGTGGCGGCAGTGGAGGTCGTGGCGGCGGTGGCGGAGGTGGTGGAGGCAGCGGCAGCGGTGGTGGAGGTGGCGGCGGCGGTGGTGCTGGTCGAGGGTGCCAGCCGCGCAGCGTGGAGGCTTGGTGGCAGCCAGCGCCAGCAGCAGCCGCGCACACCGTGAGACCCCGTCGGTTCAGCAGCTTCGTGAGTGGTACGCTGGGCACGGGAGGTCTGGGAGTGCAGGTCCCTGCACTTACGTTCTTCGCACACGGCACTCGTAGTGGGGAGGTGTGTGGGCTCCCACACACCACGCAGCGCTGCTTCGGTCGCTTGACTGACGCTTGGCGTACCCAGTTTCCTGACGCCGTTGAGCTCCCTCGCTGGCATGATCTGCTTCTGCAGGAATGTGCCAATCTTTGATCTAGATTTTGATGCTATCCTTGCTGCCATGTATGCTCTTGCTGATAGTGCTGAGGGTGACTGTTACCTCAGTGTCCCACCCGACCCGGGCATTGCGGCTGCTGCTCTAGGTGCTAGTGCGTCTGCTGTGTCAGGTTCTGGTGCGTCTGCTGCTCCAAGTGCTGGTGCGACTGCTGCTCCAGGTGCTAGTGCGTCTGCTCTCTTTGGTACTGCACCTACTGAGTCCTTGCACACTTTCACACTTGACTGAAGTGCTTCGCGCTATTTCTTTAGAGGCAGCACCACGCTCACGCCGCTCAGTCGGCCTGTTGCGGTCTCCCTTGCTGACCCCTCAGGGGGTCCAGTCCTTGCACACTTCTCCACGGTTCTACCGTGTCCTGCGGCTCCGTCGGGCTTGCTGTCGGGACTCCACCTCCCCTCGTTCTCTACGAACTTGGTGAGTGGAGCTGACCTCGAGGACGCGTGGGTTGACCAGTTCACCCCTGGAGGTCAGCGTGTGACCCACTGCACTTGCTCTCGGACGGGCCGCCACCTGGCCACGTTCACCCGTCGGCCAGGGTCGAGTCTGTAGACACTGACTACTGCGCCTCCTCCGGTCCCTGCGTCTGGTCAGGTAGCTGCGTCTAGTCAGGTGTTTGCTGCCGCGTCCAGGTCTAGTCCTGCGTCTGCCCCCTGCTCGTGTCGTCCTCTGTCGCACGAGACTCTCATTTGGCACCACCGTCTTGGTCACCCCTCCCTGCCTCGTCTTCGAGGTATGGCCTCCCGTGCCCTTGTCTCTAGTCTCACCAGGTCCCTCCCTTCCCTTCGTCCGGGGCCTGCCCCCACCTGTGGTTCCTTGTGTCGAGGGCCGGCAGCGCGCCGCTCCTCACTCCTCCTCGTTCCCTCCGACAGAGGCTCCTCTGCAGACTCTTCACATGGACGTGTGAGGCCCAGCCCGCGTCCGTGGACACGGTCACGAGCGTTATTTCCTGCTGGTCGTTGACGACTACTCGCGTTACAGCACAGTCCTCCCCTTGCGCAGGAAGGGTGAGGTCCCTGAGGTGCTGATCAACAGGATCTGCGGTACTCGTTGCCAGCTCAGTGAGAGTTTCGGCTCGGACCTTCCTGTTCTGCGTCTGCACTCAGACAGAGGTGGGGAGTTTTCCTCCGACCTCCTGAGAGCCTTCTGTCGTTCGGAGGGCATCCGCCAGACGTTCACGCTTCCGGCCTCCCCGCAGCAAAATGGGATTGCTGAGCGCCGCATTGGCATGGTCATGGACGTCGCTCGTACGTCCATGATCCATGCGGCTGCTCCCCATTTTCTGTGGCTGTTCGCGGTTCAGTACGCTGCGCATCAGATCAACCTTCAGCCTCGTGTCTCCTTGCCGGAGACCACACCTACTCTGCGGTGGACGGGGAAGGTTGGCGATGCGTCCGCGTTCCGTGTCTGGGGATCTCGAGCTTTTGTCCGCGATACTACAAGCGGACAAGCTGTCCTCCCGTGCCGTTCCCTGTGTCTTCCTTGGCTTCCCTCCTGACGCACCCGGGGTGGCAGTTCTACCACCCCACCTCGCGTCGTGTTCTGTCCTCTCAGGACGTCACGTTTGACGAGTCGGTGTCGTACTACCGTCTCTTTCCCTACCGCACTGCCTCACTCCCCCCCCCCGCCACTCTTCCTAGCACCAGGTACTCCCCCGGTAGACCCCCTCCCCCCCCAGGGTCCTGCCCCCTTAGGTGTGTCCAAGGTAGACCCTGCCGAGCCGGTCGAGGTAGCTGTCGACTCAGGTGCTACTAGGGGTGCTGAGCCTACGGGTGCGGGGCCTGGGGGTGCGGGGCCTTGGGGTGCTGAGCCTGAGAGTGTGGAGCCTGGGGGTGCTGAGTCTGGGGTAGCTGAGCCTGGGAGTGTGGAGCCTGTGGGTACTGTGTCAAGAGGTGCTGAGCCTGCACGTGCTGCGTCTGGAGGTGCTCTAGGTGTCCCGTTGCGGCGGGAGCCTCTCTCTCCTCAGCAGCTTCGTGAGTGGTACTCTCGGCGCTGTCGAGGTACTGCTGGTGCTGGAGCTGCTGGAGGTGCTGCTGGTGCTGGAGCTGCTGGAGGAGCTACTGGTGCTGGTGCTGCTGGAGCTGCTAGAGGTACTGCTGGTGCTGCTGGAGGTGCTGCTGCTGCTGGAGGTGCTGCTGGTGCTCGTTGCTCTGGAGGTGCTGCTGGTGCTGGAGCTGGAGGAGGTGCTGCTGGTGCTGGAGCTGCTGGAGGTGCTGCTGGTGCCGGAGCTGCTGGAGGTGCTGCTGGTGCTGGAGCTGCTGGGGCTGCTGGAGGTGCCACTGGGACTGGAGACCCTGGGGCTGAGGGTACCGGTTCTGTCTCTGCTGTTTCTTGAGGCGCTGCGCGGCCGCGGCCGTACTACGTTCCGCTTCTTCAGCAGATTCTTGGCTCCCCGCCTTCTCCTGGTCCTCCTCCTCCTTTCCTGAGTCCACAGCCTGTCAAGTTCCAGTCGCAGTTGCAGCCGGCCTCTCCACTGCCTGGTCCTTCTCCTTACTCTGGACCGACAAGAGGTCTCACGGAGCGTCGTGAGCCTGAGTCTCGTCCTGTGTCGCTTGCGTCTCGTTCTGCGTCGCCTGTCCGTACTGTTCGCACTGGTCGTGTTTCGCGTCCGCGTCCTCCTCCTGTCCCTGGCACTCACTCTATGAATCTGCGTCTTTCCACAGCTCCGCAGCGTGTCCCTTTGCCGTCTACTCCTGCGTCCTCTCTTCCTGCCGGTCCGGACCCGGAGTCTGACTCCCTACGTGCTGCTAGTCCAGCTGTCACGCGTTTCTGGCCACTGCTGTCACTGAACCTTTATTTGAGTCCACTGCTGCGTCTGCTCTCGTTGCTGAGCTTGTTGACTTTGCTGCTGCCTGTCGCCTAGACTACGCCACTAGTCTTGTTGCTGAGTCTGCGTCTGTCTTTCCTCCGTCCGTCGGGGGTGAGTGTGCTCTTGGCACGGACGTTCTTGAGGACAGACAGGAGGAGTTTGAGTGCTTTGGCCGCTTCTGTACCTCATCTCGTGTCCATGCTGCTTGCCCCTGAGGGAGACCCGGATGCACCAGACATCCCGACCCCGCGCTCTTACGCAGAAGGCGATAGAGGGTCCCTACTCCTCTCAGTGGCAGGCAGCCATGGACGCCGAGATGGCATCCTGGAAGTCCACAGGCACCTGCGTCGACGAGGTTCCACCCGCCTGGGGCGAACATCGTCAGTGGCATGTGGATCTTCCGGGTGAAGCGGCCGCCGGGTTCTCCACCTGTCTTCAAGGCGCGTTACGTTGCACATGGTTTCAGTCAGCGACAGGGAGTTGACTTCTTCCAGACCTTCTCCCCTACCCCAAAGATGACCACTCTTCGAGTACTGCTGCACGTTGCCACCCAGCGTGACTACGAGCTCCACTCGCTTGACTTCAGTACAGCCTTCCTCCAGAGCAGCATGCACGAGGAGATCTGGCTGCGCCGCCCACCTGGCTTCACTGGGTCGTTTCCTGCTGGTACCCAGTGGAGCCTCCGGCGGCCAGTCTACGGTCTCCGTCAGGCACCCCGTGAGTGGCACGACACTCTCAGGACGACTCTTGCTGCTCTTGGCTTTGCTCCTTCCACTTTTGACCCTTCTCTGTTTTTACGCACTCTCACTACTCTGCCACCGTTCTACGTTCTCGTGTACGTAGACGACCTCGTCTTTGCTACTGCTGACACTGAGGCACTCGCCCACAGTGAAGTCCGAGCTGCAGAAGATGACACACGTGCACAGACCTGGGTGACCTGACAAGCTATCTTTGCTTGCGGATCACCCGGGACAGAGCACAGCGCACCATTTCCTTGACTCAGTCACACATGGTGCAGCAGGTCCTTCAGCGCTTCGGCTTCACGTACTCCTCGCCACAGTCCACTCCTCTGCCTACCGGTCACCTCGCTCTCAGCTCCACCTTCGGACGAGTCCGTAGAGCCGAGTGGCCTGTATCCAGAGCTTGTGGGCTGCCTCATGTACCTGATGACTTGCACACGACCTGACCTCGGCATACCCTCTCAGCCTTCTGGCTCGCTACGTGGCTCCCGGCAGGCACCGAAAGGTGCACTGGGATGCTGCGAAGAGGGTGTTGCGATACTTAGTGCAGTACATCGGGCATGGGGCTCGTGCTTGGAGGACGGGTTTCGAGTTGTCCTCACTGATCACGCAGACGCTTCCTGGTTTGACGACTTGGCTACGCAGCGGTCGTCACAGGGTTACACCTTCAGTCTTGGCTCCGGTTCTGTCTCTTGGCGGTCTAACCTGCTCTTCTTCTGTTCTCGAGCTCCAGTTGTGAGGCTGAGATCTACGCTGGGGCCATGGCTGCACAGGAGCTACGCTAGCTCACCTACCTGCTGACCGACTTGGAGAGGCGCCTCGTTCTCCTCCAGTTCTGTACGTCGACAACAAAGGCCATGTTGGCCTTGTGTCAGGAGCACAGACTGGAGCACAGAACGAAGCACATTGCTCTGCGCTACTTCCTTGCTCGAGAGTTGCAAGCAGCGTGGCCAGCTTCGGCTTGCTTACGTGGCCTCACAGGCCAACACTGCTGATGTTTTCACCAAGACACTTCAGCCTTGTGATCATCAGCGTTTCTGCACTGTTCTAGGCCTTGTACTTACTATGCCTCACTTGTTGACTTCTTGACTCTGTTTGTACTGTACTCTTTATACTTATACCTGCATGCTTACACTTGCTAGGTTGTGTTCACTGTATTGTTTGCTTTCATTTATATAACTCTGCATGTGAACTGGCCTTGTGGCCCTTTGCTTGTGCGCAGACTGTGTGGTGACTTTGTGATCCACCCTGAGCTTGCTTTGCCTTCTTGATTGGTCTTGTGACCCCTTGTTCTCCCCTACTTTGCCTATGGGGGTGTTTCAAACTTATATATGCTATAGTCTCTCTAGGCTGTAGTGGGGTAATCCTTAGAGGGTACAACTCTTTTGTCTTTTCTACTTGTACCCACCTCCTTTCTACTTCATTCATTCCTCTCATGATTCTCACAATTTCGAACTCTTTTTTGAACTTCTAAACAGATCACACGCGCCCTAACCAAACCGCTTGCACGTATTTATGTTACTAGTAGCTTGTAACGGCTCGCACTTTCGCTCTGCGCGTCAATTTTCCATTAAATTGTTAATGATTCATGTATTTACACCTGGTAGCGTCGTTTAGCAATCCGACTCTCCCGGGAATTCTTAGGGCAGCAAAAAAAAAAAAAACAAAACCCCTAGAAACCTGGATGCATTTCCAGGTTGGATCAACCCTAAAAATGGGAACCTTCTGGATGTTTAGGGTTGATGCCTCCCGAGCCGCATCCTATTCCACACAGGTTATATATATAGTGTGTATATATATTCTTCGTGTTTCCAATCAGGTAGGTCTTATGTATCATCCATAATATAATAATTGTTTTGTACCCAGAGTTTAACACGGCGAATTTTACTTCCAGGAAAATGCGACGCGCGCGTTGTAGTAGACGACGGTAATAACCCTTAACACAAACAATAATTGAACACAAAATTGGTGCTTGTAGCAGTTCTCTTTCACTCACGGTTCGCCTCGAGGCCTGGAGGCCTGGAGGGGTGAGCAACCAGGGGCCGAGAGGCCTGGAGCTGACCAAGCCGCTCCGCAAGGAGTGACAATGGCTGTTTATTAATGTCAAAATGTATATTGTGTAGGCTATAGTGGGGTAGCCCATAACAGGTACAACCCAATTAGGATTAGTACTTGTACCCAACTCTTTGCTAGTTCATCCATTCTCGTTCATTATTCTGACATGGTTTCAGAGCAGGTCCTCCACTAGGACCGTTTTTTTTCCTTGGGCCCACCACTGCACTGCCCTTCACGTCCCTCGTGTCGCCCCTCGGCCCGTCGCCCCTAGGCCCGTTGCCCCTAGCTCGGCCCGTAGGCCCTAGCCAGCGCGCCCCTAGCCCGGCCCGTCACCTCTAGCCCGGCCCATCGCTCCTAGCCTATGCGCGGCCGGCCCTTCGCCCCTAGCCTACGCGCCCGGCCCGTTGCCCCTAGCCATCGCGCGCCCGGCCCGTCGCCCCTAGCCTACGCGCTCGGCCCGTCGCCCCTAGCCATCGCGCCCGGCCCATCTCTCCTGGCCCCGCGGCCCGGCCCGTCGCCCCTAGCCTACGCGCCCGTGCCCGTCGCCCCTAGCCTACGCGCGCCCGGCCTGTCGCCCCTAGCCATCCCGCCTGGCCCGTCTCTCCTGGCCCCGCGGCCCAGAACGTCGCCCCTAGCCTAGCGCCCCAGCCCGTAGCCCCTATGCCCCCGGCCCCTCGGCCTGTTACTCCAGGCTCCGCGGCCCGTCCCCCTCGGCCCATCAGCCCTTTTTTTGTGTTATAGTCACAATAGGCTTGAATGCGCCTAAAACGAAAGATAGAATGCACAGTCGGATTTCTGCACATCGGCTTCAAATGCTCCTCGTCCAATGCCACTTCACCCTCATGTGCTTGGTGAGGCCATGCAACACAGGGTTCTTAGCAAGAGCAATGGCAC